TAGAAAAATTTCGGAATCGGAGTCCGTCGAACGGCACATTGAGCTGGATGATCTCAATGACTTGCTATGACTTTTAAAGTCTACCTATGACCTGAATGTAGTCTACTGTGGACTTGAGCTTCGGATGGTCACTTGGCATCATATCATCGTGAGAAAATTCCCCTAAAGTGGTCATTAACAAAAGCATTACTTTGAATTTCAATTGGTCTCTCTGCTCTTAACCCTCGTCTGCTTCGTCGTCTCTTGTCAGCTTCTTATGCTCCTTCATGATGAAATCCCTACGTAAATCTCTCAACGGACACCGCGATATCCACCGTCTTGAAATCTCTACCCCTCTACCGTTACCTTCTGTATCCAGACCTCAGAATTCTTCTCTACCCCCTCAAAAAGTAATCCGTGCAATCGCATCATACAGGCCACAGGGCCCTCAGCAGCTCCCTTTTCAAAAGGGTGACTTTTTTTATGTTACAGGAAGTACAGAAACTCAGGGGGATTGGTACGATGCACATAATCCTGTAACCGGGGCTAGAGGTTTAGTCCCAAAATCTATGTTTGAAGAGTTTTGCAAGAGTCCAGCGTCAGTACAATTCTACATTCGTTCATCTGCGCGTTAACAACCCGTACAGTGTACGCACTTCTAGTGTCAACGTCGCACTAAATAGTCCCACCCTCCCTAGTCCAACATCTCCTCCTAAGTCCCCAAAAGCACCTGCATATTTTGCAATAGTTCTTCACGACTTCATAGCGGAGCGCGCGGACGAGCTTGACGCCAAATCTGGCGATTGCATAACTGTAGTTGCCCAGTCAAACCGCGAATGGTTTGTCGCAAAACCTATTGGTCGACTTGGTCGGCCAGGTTTAATCCCCGCTTCTTTTGTGGAAGTTCGCAATCCTACAACAAATCGCCCGGTAGAGGATGTCAACGCTTTGATTGACAGCGGAGATCTACCAGGTGTCGAAGAGTGGAAGAAGGCCGTATTCAATTACAAAGCAAATAGCATATCACTCGGCGTCATAGAGGAACCGTCTGCCCAGCGTTCCAGCACACAACCTGAATCTGCACCACCTCCCCGCACTTTCTCCCCCGTCCTCTTATCCGAGGGCATCCTATTATCAGCCGACGTCGTATCCTTTCACAACGAAATGAACGAGTACTGGTTCCGCACAGACGCCATTTACCAACCTTATGATCCTCATGACCCTCAAACTCTTCCAAAAGCCAAACAGCTCGTCCTATTTCGAGTATATAATGACTTCTACGATTTCCAAGTTAACCTCTTGCAGGCTTTCCCTCGTGAAGCTGGACGAGAACCGGACTCCGTCCGGATACTCCCCTTCATGCCTGGTCCTGCCGAAAATGTCGACGACGAGGTCACTGCCGCCCGACGGGAAGAACTTGACGAGTATCTCCACAAGCTGTGTGGCTTAAACACCGTTGGTGCCAGCTATATTCTCGAACACCAGCTCGTGCGCGAATTTTTATCGCTCAAACCTGGAGATGTGGAACATGATATTGAGCCTCGCTATGATGAGGTCAGGGCACTCTTTGCCGAAGAAGCCACAGGAGAACAGACCGTTGCGGAGGAATTTGAGGAGGAAGTTCGTGATACGCTTGGGGATATGAAATTATCAGATAGAGATGATCGAAGCGAAGGCTCAGACTATGGAGAGGACCACACGCCCCCTACTCATATTATGTCTCGTGACTCACAAACTAGCGCAACCCCACAACCTCATCGACCAAACACAGCGACATCACATCACCGCACAGGGTCCCAGTCTAAACACAACGGACGTTCGTCTCCATCATATCCACGTCTTGACACTTCCCGTGCAAGTGCTTCCTCTCGATCATCCTTTGCTTCGAACTCTGCTTGGCAAGAACACGCCACCCCATCTCCATCATCTCCCAGTTCGTCACAGCCATCTATCGCCATGTCCTCCCGATCTCGTTCCCTATCAAACGCCACTAATATGAACGCCCCTCCAATGTCCGCTGGTAATTCCCAGACAGCCTTCGTTAAGATCAAAATATTCGATCGCGTCACTGATGACCTGATCGCCATTCGCGTACATCCTCGCGTGACGCACGCTGAGCTCCTGGAGAAGGTGCAAGCGCGATTAGGCGGCAACGTCCTCAATCTTCGATACCGCCATAGTCTCAGCAACGAATTCGTCGGCATTGACGACGACAGAGATTTGCGAGAGTGGTTGGATAGCACGAAGAAGCACGTTTTGTATGCTGAATAACGATGACAACGGACGGACCGTCGTGCAATTTTTTTTTCGTGTTGTTTGTTGTCGAAGTATCAAATTACTTATATTTTAGACTTTTTATTGTATTCGTCTTCCTTTTTTCCTCTTTATATCTCCATCTCTGATTTCTTTTTTATCTGTGTTGGCAAATGTATTCTGTAGTTTGTTGTTAGAAGTAAGCTGTTTATTTTATGTATACCGGTGTACACCCTATGATCCTAGTAATAACACTCGCAGCTGGTACCACGTATACATGTAATTGAATTGCGTCATTAATGCCCGAGTCATCGCCGAAAGTTCATTCACTCCTTATTACGTAACCTGCATTGGAAACAATTGGAACCAAGCACGACCAAATAGATCTTCTGCATCAGTTCACCGACATGTCCTTCATTCGTTATGTGCGAAACATCCGCAGAACAGGGATCAAACAGTGGTGGCATCAATTGCAGTACATTGGAGATGCAAAAGCTGGGACGCTTGTCGGAACCGACCAGTAGGTGCTCGCCCCACATTCCTCGCAGAGTTTGACTGCTCGGATAGGTTCGGCAATAAATACTTTGAAAACCTGAACCCGGACGATGAAGTTCCAGGTGCGTAATACGTTCCCGTGCTTCGATGTGATATTTGATTTGCGGCTTTTTATAGGACGTCATAGATGGGTCGACTTTACTCAGGTATGGTCTTGTTCGTCTTCAATTGGATGAGAAGCGGGTATAACCGTGTACTGTCTCTAGCATTACAACAACGCTACTCAAGTTCCCCCCGAGTGGCGTTCGTGGCTATCGCACATACGGTTACAACCACCTACGGAGGATGCTGTCGTGCAGAGCCTGACTCCGTCATGGAAAGCGGTATGTAGCTATCGTGCATACCCCGTTTCTTTCAAGTCTAATTTCAGAACAGCCCTGGGTAGAGACCCTGACGGGCACGAGAGGTGCCTATCGGTCGTATAACACAGTGAAGCCTAAGATTAATGCTTGGGAGCCGAAGGTCATAACACGGGGCGAGGCGCGTCCGTAGGTCAATTGTACGGAGCCAAGTCATTCTATATATACCACACCCTACTGTGAGATATGGATATGTTCTAGCTCAATGACATCATCTACAACGTGTTCAGCGATAGCAAGGCTTGACGTCAGGCCAGGGCTCTCAATACCCATCAGGCTGACCATCAGTCCTCTCTTGCTTCCATCAGCATAGTCCTTCCGAATAGTAAAGTCTTGGAATCCGGACAACACCAACTTGGGACGGATTCCGACATAGTCAGGTCTGAACCCTTCAAATGATACCCCTGGTAGATATTCGGTTACCGCTCTGTGCATCTCTTCCAGCCTGGAATCGCTGGGTTTTAGATGCTTCCGCCAAAAATCTGCGTTCTCCTCATTAAAATCATATTCTGATGCATCAGCCGCTGCCTGAGAGGGCGATGATATCCACTCCAGGTCTGGCCCAAAGCGCACTTTGCCTTGTAGATCAAGGGTCAGATGCGTTCCGAGCGATTGGAAGGCGTGCTTGTTGGGCCCAGTTTCAGGGCATGGGTATATGAGGCGACTAACTTGAGATATGCCTGGACCACTGTAAGCCGCGTACGAGCCCCGACCGAAGAACATGGGTATGCGTAATGCCTCGGGCAGCAGAGAATTTGGAATGAGATTGGCGGAAAGGCCAGACGCGTTGATTAAGGTTCGAGCGAGCAGGGAATCTCCTTGCTCGGCATTCTCGGTGACAGTCTGAACTACCCAGCCCTCTTCCGAGCTAAGCCTAGAGGTCTCTTTGCTCTTGTACGGGTCTACACGAACGACCCGAGTAGAAAATACCAATTCACCTCCTTCCGATTCTGATATATCCTTCTCCAGACTCTCCATGAAAGAGTGGGAGTCGACAATACCTGTCTCTGGACTCCATAACGCAGCAGTAATGTCCGGTGAGAGGTCTGGCTCAAGCTCGCGTGCTTGCGCACCGCTTATAAGTGAGACAGGGAGTACTTGGTCTTCAGCTCCACGAGGCGGCGAGTGCTTGGGCCATGATAGTTGTCTGGCCTTTGCAAAGAGGTTCTCGACGTACGCACGCTGGTGCTCGTGTGCTACCACGAGTTTTCCAGTCTTTCGGTACGGGATGTTGTATTTGTCGCACCGTTCGTACATGAGGTGCCTGCCTCGCAAACATAGCTGCGTCTTGAGTGATTGTGGAGGATAGTAAAGTCCTGAAAAGCCATTACATCAAGAGACATGGACACAGTTGACGTTGCAAGGTGAGCTCACCAGCGTGTACAACTTCTGAGTTGCGAGAGCTATCCACTCGTAGTCAGCGTAAAGCGAACAAGATAATACCTATGTCGCTCGCCTCGTTTCTTCGCCAGCGTGTGAATGTCTCTCAACCAGGTATGTTGATTTCGTCGGGAAGCGCTCGGATAGTCGCTGGGCGACAGCCAAGCCTACAACACCTAGCCGTAGATGAGCGTTAGCGCGCTACGAAGTTAATATTGCGCGGGACGGACCTCCGCCCACAACCAGGAAATCTACTACGGCATCTGGACTCTGGACGAAGATGGTGTGAGAGCCTCCACAGAGCTTGAGTTTGGTAGTTTACCTTGTACTTGAAGCATCCCGTTGCGTTTAGCGCAGCCACCAGCCCCCGTACGTTGGTCGCTGCCATGAAGGCCCTCCAGTGTCCGGCGCCTGAGACTGATTTTTGGTCAGGTGGCGCTCGGTTAGATATCCTCCTCGGCCCAATTTAAAGCGATCTTATCAGGATCTAGTCATCTCTTTGTTTGTCACTCAACACTTTTGCTCAGCACCAAGTCTTGCACTACGCTAATACACACTAATACTGGCGCCAACTTGGTCGCCCGTCGCTGACCGGAAAGAAAATCAAAATGGCTGCCGTATTTCCACAACCGGCGGAGTCCTCTTTCGAGGAGAAGATGGCTGCTTTGGAGAGCACCCCACTCTTTATGAAATCTCTGCCTTCAGAAGAATCTAACGACCCTGTAATACAAGCCTTACAAAGCCTCGCCTTCGATGGAACACCAGATGGTGAGTGAGAACCTTCTCTTCTCTACTGTAACACCTCGTGAACATGCGGCTTCTTCAAGAGATCGCTCAAAATTTCAAAGAGCAAGGAAACGACTACTTCAAGGGAAAACGCTATCGAGAAGCAATTAGCTTCTACACGCAGGGAATTGATGCCAAGCCATCTGATATTGTATTGCACGAAGCTCTGTTGTGCAATCGTGCCGCATGCAACCTCGAACTAAGTGAGTAATTGGGCTACTGGTCGATAACGAGGATCTGACCAATTCGAAGATAACTATGGTTCTGTGCTCAGAGACTGCTCGAAGGTGCTTACCCTGAATACGAAGTCTTCGAAAGCCTATTACCGCTCGGCTACGGCATTATTCGCGCTGGAGCATTATGAAGAGTCCCTCGATTGTTGCGAGAGATGCCTGGAGTATGACCCAGAAAACAAAGGTGTTAGGTCAGTTCGTGATCGTTCCGCAAAGGCGAAGGCAGAGAAGCTTCGCAAAGAGAGTGAAAAACAGGAACGAATACATAACAAACAAAGAGAGAAGAAACTCCTGCAGGTGGCGTTCAAGGTACATTCTATCTCGGTCTCGTCATCGGACGTCTGACCATGCTTCAGGAACGAAATTTGTTTGCCGTATATAACCCAAAAGGGTCATCAGAGAACCCATACGAGCCTCACTTTGACCCAGAGGACCCTGAAGGAACGACGTTGATAATCCCCGTGTTCTTCTTGTATCCACAACATGCGACATCGGACGTCATAGCACATTTTGTTGAAGATACCACCTTTTCGACTCATATTTTTCAAATGTTTCCGCCGCAGGCGCCTTCACCCAGCTGGGATAAAGCCGGGCAGTACATTGCAAACAACCTCGTGGTATACGCAATAACAAGAAGGAAGCGGCTACTCAAAGTTGGCAAGAAGATGTCATTGAGAGACGTGTGCAATTCTGCGAAAGCGAAAGAAGGGGACCCTGACGATGGATTAGAATTGAAAGACGGGTGTTTGACGTTTGTTGTTGTTCCAAAGGGAGAGGTAGAGCAGAATTGGGTAGATGAATTCAAGCGGACACGAGTCAGCTAGACACGAGCTCATGTGTAATTGAACAGGGGTGTTTCCAATTTGAGAAGCACGTGCACAATGAATGTGTTGGTCACTGTTTGGCAGACACCATACGGTAAGACTCCTCGCAAAAAAGACATCGACGAAGGCGTCAAGCTCGGTGAGTACGAATTACTGTTTATTATGGTGTTCAACAGTGCAGGATGGATGTGCATATCGAGCTACGGAGCAAAAATTGGGGTCGAATCACTTCGATTGGGTGGATGCAAGTTATGAGGAGTGGATGCTGACCATAGGATCATCTACTACAGGGCCTCTATTCTAGTCATGTCTGTCAACCACAAGATCCTCCGTACTGCAAATGCACCCACTACCTCCCCTGATGAAACCGAGGTTTCCGTCGCTCAGGCCCTAATCGACCTCGAGAACAATGTCCCTGAACTCAAGACTGAGCTTCGCGCTCTACAAATTTCTGCCGCACGTGAAGTTGATGTACGAGGTGGAAAGAAGGCTATCGTTGTGTTCGTTCCCATTCCCCAACTAAAGGCATTCCACAAGGTGCAGCAGAGGTGAGGATAGTTATCTCAGTGGGAAGGTGTCATTGTAATCGATCTCCTGGATCTCGCAGACTCACTCGTGAGTTGGAGAAGAAATTCTCTGACCGCCACGTCGTTTTCGTCGCTCAGCGCCGGATGTTGAGCAAGCCTACCCGTAACTCACGGGTGAAGCAAAAGAGACCCCGTTCTCGTACACTCACCGACGTACACGAGAAGATCCTTGAGGACCTTGTCTTCCCGACTGAGATTGTTGGCAAGAGGACCCGGGTATCTGCTGACGGATCAAAACTTTTGAAAGTGTGAGTGGCGTAGTTTCCGATGGATTGACGTGCGTGATGCTGAATAATATTGCAGCATCCTTGACCCTAAAGATGCGACATCGCTCGAGTACAAGCTCGATTCGTTCTCTTCGGTATACCGCCGTTTGACGGGCAAGGACGTGACATTCGAGTTCCCCCCTGCAAACCAAGAGTAGATTACGCGATATGATGACACATGTTTCCGGTTCTTTGCATTCTCCGATAAAAATAAGGACATACTGCTTATGTCCTGTTCGCGTCATGTGCTGTGATATTCATACGTCAAAGCGCTGCCACAGAATGCTGAGCGCTGAGCACTAGTAAACGTGCCTGCTGAGGCGAACAGGCAGTGTTAGTTCGCTTGCAAATTTCTTTCAAAGTTATAACCGGGTTATTATATGAAAGAGCTCTTGTGAGCGCTCGTAGCTAGCAATTCGGCGTGATTTCGGCACGTGGTTTGTGTCGCGTCTACTAGTGTTTTTGAGTTGATTCATTTCATTGTCTTCCTTGCTTCTGTTGCTAGTCATTTTCCCGCTTCCTTCTCTCTTCCTCCCGCCCTCCGTGGCACTCCTCCCTCACCTTCGACGTCGTTCTGCATGGCGGAGTATCCACGCATGGACCCGTACTCGAAGTCCAGGTACGAACACGGGATAGATGCCAAAATTGTGGTCATGGGCAATACAGGTTCGTTGTTCGGATACCAATCGACTCGATTCACTGACATGTTCTCAATTAATAAAGGTGTGGGCAAGACCAGCCTACTCCATCGCTATACTCAGAACAAGTTCGATCCCAGGAACATGACGTCCACGACCGGGGCTTTCTTCGTAACCAAGAAAGTTCATATCGATGGTTTGAAGGTTCGACTTCAACTATGGGATACTGCAGGACAGGAACGATTTCGAAGTATGGTATGAACTCACTTTTACTTATAACCCTTCAGGTGGTTTACCAGCGTAATTAGGCCCCCATGTATTATCGCGGAGCGAATGCCGCACTTCTCTTGTATGATATCACGAATGCTGCTACATTTGAGGACATTCGGGGATGGTTAGCTGGTTCGTAGCACTACATTTTACATTGGCGATTCTTTTCTGACATCATTACCACTCGTTTCAGAGTTGAAGAAAAATTGTCCGCCAGAGCTCATCATTTATATCGTTGGTTCCAAAGCCGACCTACATCATCACAGACAGGTCACATCTGATCTAGCCCGCCTATCGCTGCATACTTGGTTTCCCCCACCGCGCGCCCCAACGCCTCCTCCCCCTCCTCCCCCACCATTGTCAACACTATCTTACATTCGCCCCAGATTCACATCCTTCACTAGCATCAAATCAGTTCCTCTAAACAACTCCCCAATGAAGTCTTCTCCGCCACACAGCGCGTCCTACTTGGATCCTGCTGTTAGCCATTCATCGCATTCATCTGTGCTCAATCGATGCAATACTGGTTCTGGCCTTCCGAGAGTAAAGACAACAGCCCCGACCTTGAACAGGTCAAAAACAGAGGCTTCCCATTCATTACAATCGCGATTTGGTTCACACTTTGGGCGACGTGCAGGAGGGTATGACGCTGCGGATAGCAGCAGCAACAGTATAAATGAAGATGAGGAAGACTTTGATGTCGATGACCAGGAATGGGGACTTCATAAGGGCATGGAACTTTTTGAGGTCTCAGCTAAAGATGACTTTGGTACGTGTGCTCGATCCCCATCTTGATCTTCTCATTCAGCTATTTGCCTACAGGCATCGCAAACCTCTTCGAGTCATTGATTAATGCAATCATCGAGCGGAAGGATATCATTGAGCGCGAAAATGAGCTCAGGAAACGTGATAGTGTCTTCCTATCAACTGTCAGCGCGCCTACCTGGGCCGCTCAGGCCGAAGAAGAGGAGGCACGAGAGAAGGCTCGATCCACTTCAGGAGGATGGAACTGTTGTTCCTCGTGATCTTGTCCCTGCCAGGTGTCAATACTTCTCAGCTATCTGCTGTCTTTCTACTCGTCTTCATCTTACCGGTCCGGCATACATTCTCACGACTCATTGTCCAACGTGTTCTCCGTCACATCGATCTCCTACACCCGATATTCAAGGTCTCTTGTTCTCTTTCGTCTTTACAGGATGCTATGTTCTTTATGCCACTTTCTATGATTCCTATAGGTTCACCCATACCACCGAGCCTCAGGACCACTGTTTGCAATACTATTATTCACTTCCTTATCTCCTCATACCATATACTACCTTAAGTAGATACAATTTGTGCATGTGTCTATAGTCACCTCATTCAGCAATTTTGGAAGCTTCCAATCCCTTGCTAGGTTGTAATTTGGTGTTTGTATCCGCAGACTGAGAAGGGAGAACACCAAAAAAGGCAGGCAGGGTCCCTGATGCTGGAAGAGCTGAGCTACTAGTACATATCCGTTTCGTTCCTCGACCACCATATCTCTCCTTTCTTCCAAGCTAATGGAAGGAGATAAAGCAGACAAGGTCGACAATGTGTGCACCCCAGAGCACTGTTTTCGTGCTTTCGATGCATTGTACTGCGCGCTAACATCTAGCGAGCATATCTCGCCTAATTTTGCCGACGAGAAATAGTAAGTGACCGTATGTGTTCTGATCTGAATGTGTGCTATAGTTATGATTCCCTAGTCCATTATTTGTGACATGGAATACCAGATCATCTCGCGCAGGCAGACCACCCAGGCTGAGGGGTTGCATCGGCAACTTCGATGCCATGCCTCTTAGGCAAGGCCTTGCAGAATACGCATTGATCAGTGCATTCAAAGACTCTCGTTTTCGGAAAATAGAACGTCGAGAACTTCCGTCTCTTGAATGTGGGTAAGTACATCTCGTCTTTAATATATATATTGATGCATTCAGCCGTGACGCCCCAGAATATCCCTTCTGACGGATTTCGAAGACGCATCGTCATATCTAGATTGGACTGTTGGCACTCACGGGATCTACATTAGCTTCCCGAATCCATCATTATACCCACCATCTTCGAGCGCGCCTTCTCCTTTATCTTCGTCAGCATATCTACCGAGATTCAGCTCCAGAGACACTCTGACTGCGACATATCTCCCAGATGTCATACCTGACCAAGGTTGGGATAAGGTTGAGGCTGTGGAAAGCGCTATGCGTAAGGCAGGATGGAACGGCGCTATCACGGAAGAGACGTTCAGGACCGTGAAACTTCGACGATACCAGAGCAGGCACTGTGTTGTTGGCTGGGAGGAATTCGTCCAGTGGAGGAGGGAGAATGGTGATGACGACATTTCATGATTGAATTTCATGACCCAAATCAGTTAGAACATTGCAATGTATCACCATCAAATTGTCGCAGCTTGTACAGATATTAGGGTCGGATGTGGTGTATGTACCTATATGCGAATAGATTGACAATTAGTGCCCACCACTCCCGTTGTTGCCAAATAAGTCTTTCCGCAGCCTGTCCAACCGACCACCCCATCCGCCACCAAAGCGCTGTTCAAGTTGTAAAAACACCTTTCGCAGCTTTCCCGCGTCATTACCGCTAGCTTTGCCGAAGGATATCAAGATCCAGTAGATCAGCCTCTCACTCGGCATGGCATCTGTGGGCAAATTCATGAAAGCCTTGAACACTTGATGGAGGTTCTCGAGGTTCCAATCATTTTTCTGGATAGGGCGGAGACGCTCAGATAACGATCCGGGAGGGGTCCGCAGGAGAAGCGGTTTCTGCGCATGCCGCGCGAAGCCGAGGAATATTCCCCGGAACGCAGAAAGGGTCGGCTGATAGAGGGAAGGTTCACCTGTCTGCTGACTGATAGCAGCCTTCGGTTCCCTATTGGGTGTAGAAAGCATGTCCACGAAGACGTGAAGGGCCTTCATAATCTGTCCATGATAGGCAAAGGCTTGGATCAAGGAAGTATATGTGATCTCGTCGGGTATTATATCGCCCCGAATAGCGATGCCCTCCACATCTAGCAGGTACTTGATGGCTGCCTCGATGTCATAATCGCCTACATCGAGCTCCGGTTGCAGATTGTGGCGTAGCACGCGGTAAATCGTTGAAGCGACATCCATATGCCCATTCCGGCCATAGGCCCATACACATGCGTTGATACCATCCAGACCAGGCTCAAAGCCTTGCTCTCTCATCTTCTGCAGAGTTGATCGAACACCGGACAATTGCTTTGTTCGCGTATAATAGTGTAACAATGATAGATGGGTGATGCGGTTTGGTGGTAGCCCTGAGGCTCTGAGCAGATTAGATGCGTGGCGGATGGCACTGGGGTCAAGCGAGCGGCCAGCAATGTAAATGAGGGTTGTGTATGTAATGATGTCGGGTTGCACATGCCCCATACCGGGCTCTGCGGCCAGATTCTCGTCGTCGCTCGGGTTCTCGGAGGGCTGTGGTGTAGTCATTTTACTGAAAACTTCCACAGCCGCTTTGTAGTCTTCGAGACTGCATTTCCGCCATCGCTTTCCTGCACAATCTAGTAAGGCATTCCACTCCCATAGGTATATGCGATACCCGGACCGATGTAGCATCGTTAAAACAGCAGAAAGTCGTAAGAAAAGGGTTCGTGTTCGAGGTTTTGCGGAGGCAAGAAGGCGCGCAAGATGATGAAGGTGACGCTGAGGTATCTTGGGAACTCCAGAGAGGTTGTGGATATGATGGGGAAACATGACTGTCAAGGTGTGGTATGCCTCCCACCCATCTGTCATTGAGGTAGCTTTCAATAAGCTGTCCAATAATTCTTGCCGTATCTTCAGTCGGTCTGGTGGTGTCTCTTCGAGTGATTCTATGGGATTCTGATGGCCAGGGTAGTGAGGATTGGGATAATGATAATGTGGGTTTTGTTGACCGTAAGTTGAACGGATGCCAGCGTGAATGTGGATGGCTCCGACATTTAGAGACTCGTCTGCGGGTAACGGAGCGCGGGACATCAAGCCATCCTGTCCAGATGATTTTAAAACGCGTGTCTGCTGTACAGTCGTGTCCGAATGATCTGCCAATCCTGCATTCCTGACCAGAGCGTCGTCTGCCTTGCGCTCGCTCACAGCGCAGTTCACCTCTTCTTGAGCCCTTTCTTGCATCATATGAACAGCATGGATACGACGATGGACCTGGAAAGTACGAGACGTTGCCTGTCGCCGAGCGAAAAGTTGTTGAACTTGACGAAGCCAACATGATACTTGTGATGATGCAGGCGACAATCTGATGCTCGACGTGGAGCCTGCAAGCATGAATATCCAGTGCAGTCATCCTGTGGTAATGATGAGCGTTACTCCGTAATGGATGTCGTGTACATACCGCGACTGGCACTGAAAGAAGATGCTGGCAGAACCAGGTGGAAAACCTGGTAACAATACTAACTCAGTAACTGACGCGCTCGATGGAAGTTGCAAAGTGCCAAAAACAGTACATAACTCAAAAATTTCGGCTCTTGACTTTGGGCGCTAAAATTGAAACTACTACAGGGAATTTCAACGACTTTTCATTCCATCTATTTTATCGTGTCGAAGAGATATAGTTTTTGAGAATGCTCCTCAGTCTTGAGGGCATACTTGAGAACCTGAACTGAGATTTCACGGTGCTTAATTTTGTGTTCTTCCCTGCCATGTAATTCTCTGTGTTGAATCTTTGATGCAGAGCGCTCATCGCATAGCAGTGCCCGTCGGTGGTTTAACGTTTGAGATATTTGGAAAGAGATGGTTCGTTAGGTATATTTATTTTGCATTGCAAGGCTGCTTATACGGTCACCACGTCAGGACTCTGCGCTGGGGAAAACATCGCTTGTTGTTCTGAGCAAGTCAAGAAGCAGACGGCTCCATACAGGCCAAGACACCGAGTCACTCGGCAGCAGGGATGAAATGGTTCGGTTAGATAAGGTAGGTTGTACCATAGCTCTCGGGTACGGTAGCTCATTACTTACTGTCTCCTCAACCCACGAAGAAATAAAAGTCAGACCGGCTGGACAATATGGCTTTCAGAAAGATAGAGGAGATATGTGCTGTAAGTCTTCTATAATCAAGTGCGAATGCAAACACTGAAAGAGAGCGATTGAAGGCAGAGACAGAAGTCAGAACACATGGATCTCTATGTCGACCCTTCACGCGCACGTTTCAACTTCCCCGCGATAAAATCTTTCAGTGCCACTTTTTAATACACGCTGCCTTGACATTTAACTCCCTGTAGGGGGCCAGAATCAGGCGACGATACAATTCGCACCTGTGCTTATTTTGCTGCATATCTACACCTCTGAGTTATCCTTGATCCTGAGAGTGCATGCGAAAACGCTGTAGAAAACAAGTGTCGCTGGGTAGTGCAGAATCACCGGAGTAGTTCACACGACAGAGAACTCAAACTTGATGCTAAGCTCAGAGATGAAGCTAGTACGTGCAAAGTCTAACTGTGATGCACTGATAACTTCACATGTCATTTGTATAAAATGCTCAGTTATGCACCCCTGCCAACCTCTCAACTTCGAGGAGAAAGACTATCTAGAAGTTTCACTTTTACCTAGCACTGGACAAGCATGGGCTTACCAAGTCCCTCAAGTCAGTCAGTTGGCGTAAACGAACACTCTCAGATCACTCCATAACTCATCGTCATGCATGCAGACGCATTGATTTGGCTGTACTAGAGCATAGCATGGATAGTCGTGAAAAGATGTAAAAAAACATAATGCCTAAGTAGTACGTCAAAAATGCAATCAATCCCTGGCCTTGAGCGTTCCCTGGAACGCAGCCTTTTCCTCGAAGGTTTGGAACGAGCCATGCTGAATTCAAGACATGAGATGATTCCTTGAAGAGATAGCACACTGTACTTACGCCGAACTTCGATGATGTATCGATGAACTTGAGCTGCACCTTCTCGAGGTCCCGACGCGAAGTGTGGACCATGAGCGACTTACGGAGGGTGATGACACGTTTCTTGGTACCAGGGACCGAGCCCTTGAGCATCAAGAAGTCGTTCTTCACAATACCGTAATGGGGGAAACCACCCATAGGCGTGATTTTCTTGTTCGTGATGTCAGACTCCGTAGAAGCATTAGCATCATCACCGCCAGAGCCGATACGGTAAATCTTCTTGTTGAGCTCCGTACGGTGGTGGTAACCGTCTGCATGACTGCTTAATACTGCGACACCAAAAAAATAAAGCAATGCGACTTACTTTGACCAGCACGGGCAACGGAGAACATGACTTTCGAAGGATGCCATGCACCGATACAAGCGACCTTGCGGAGACCTTTGTGAGTCTTGCGAGGAAGCTTCTTGGTACCCCAACGGTGAGTAACACCCTCGAAACCATGACCCTTCGTGACGGCAATAACATCGATCACCTCATCCTGCTCAAACAGACTAGTAACCTCCACAGGCTTCTCAAACAGGCCTTGTGCGAACTCGACCTTATCTGCGATAGAGCCACCGTTGACCTGGATCTCCATGAGGTGTGCCTTCTTCTGGCTGAGGCCGGTCTTGCGAATCTGGGTGTGGGCGAGGACACGGACGACAGTGCAGTATTTGCGGATGCGCTCAAGCTCACGAGCAGTGGACTTGCCGCCGTCCTCTGCGTGCTTCTTGGCGTAGCGGGTGAAAGCCTTCTTCTTCGAGCGGTACCAGTTCTTGTAGAAGCGACGTTTGATCTCGTCTGATAGATGGGATGCCCAGACAGTGGTGAGAGTGCGGAGGCCACGGGGAGTCTCGACATAGCCAACAACACCAACAACGATCATAGGAGGAGTTTCTATGATCGTAACCGCCTCCACGACCTCACGTTTGTGCATCTCTGTACTCTCTTCAGATCCAAGATCTCTGTTAATTGAGTAGAATACGCACTGGAACCAGGACGGTCGAGGTCACGGACAACATGAGTCATACCAGCCTTGTAACCCATCATGGCGGTCAAATGAACGGGTTTCTTGGGGTCATCCTAAAATAAATGGGCTGTTAAAGGAATCCTGGACGAAAATTATTCCACTTGCGCACCTTGGGGAAGGACTTGACCTTGCCACGGTGGCGTGCAGCACGTTTACGGGGAAGGAAACCGAGTGACCCATGGCGGGGGGCTTCATACTGAACAGATCAGAAAGTATGAGTCTCTCGAGCCTGCCCGTTTTTCGATGGCAGAAGACCAACCTTACGGTGACTATGGGTGCAATTCTGGTTAGTTCGATACTTTTATAATATTTGTTTTAGCAGCCTGCTCACCTCATTTTGAAGGATCTTGAGGAGGGTATCGGATGCGAGCTTGGCGTTGTGAACGGTACGCAAGTTTGCTGGCAGTTGCCGGATCTGTGGCTGATGAACTGTACAGTTGACAACTTGAGTTTGCCGGTCTCCCATTTTGAAATTCCCCTAATGGCTACATACCCTGAGCAACAAACCCGTTACCCGACTCCCATACTCCGTGTGATGTGGAGGTAGGTGTTTTGAGACATCATAATGGGGATGCAAAAAATGAATTGGCACCGTCTATCCCCTTCATCTACATTGAACATCGTCTGGCGGACAACCCAAAGAGTGCCTCAAGGTTCAGAGTCGCAGTCCATCCTTAGGTGCTACTAAGTGCCGACCAAATGAGTCACTTCAGATGTCACTCAGTACTCCGTAATTCGATGCACGATAAATCTGGTCCCTAATATGCCAGGTGCACCCGTAATATCATGAAGCTGCTAGCAGTACCCTACTCTGATTCTTCCAGTATAACGAGCTCAAGACCCGAATGATCACGAAATCCAAAAAGTTGGCAAGTTCGGAGCTGTAGCGTGGGTGATATTCACAGCATGAATTCGTTCCAGTATAGCAGCACAAATGATTAATGAGAGACGAGTCTTGTCCATGAGAAGTACCACCCCGATATATTGTACATGTTTTGTGGTATGTATAGTGTCCGACAGTGTTAGTCAACTGGAGATATATCGTGCTACACATCGCTGCCAGTTGACTCTGATATGTATTCCCGGAAAGCCATTGAATGTATGGTAGGTCCTTCCTCGAAGTTAGGCATGAACTTGGCATGATATCCTCGAACGCTAAGGATCAGGCGTGGTCCTGCCACAAACATCTGCAAGAGCGTGGAGAGTTCAAGAATACCACGATAAGTCTGAGCTCCCACAGAGGTCGAGGCCTATAGTGATGATGAGTCCTCGAATGTAGATGTTAGTCATAGATTAGCATACAGAAAAATATGGAGACATTAAGCCAATATTGAGGCTGGAACCAACAGTAAAGCTAGCATGCGTGGAATTTCAGCCGAAAAGACAACCACATTCAAATCAAAGGCTCACAATATAAAGTAGAGGGCATGAGTTTTGAGTAACACCGTGAATAAATCACCAATGACAGTTTGTCCTCTCGATTGTGATCGCAGTTCACGCAGGTGTTTTACAACAATCCAGATTGCAAGACCAAGTGTGAGGGCCTCCCATGCAGTAGCGACTGCGTAAGTCTCGAGCATCCGAAGTTGTTGGTTTGCGTCGGTTTCGTAAACGCACTGCGAGCCGTAGAGAAATACCTCTGATATTCGTTTCATGAGCTTGATCTGCTAGTGTCTGAGATCAACTTACTTATCGAAAGAAGGCTGGTTCCTGACACAGCAATTGCTATGCAGAAAATCGTGACAGAGACGAAGGTCGTAATGAGAAAGATGAGTATCTTTCTGGATCGCTGATACATGGCATGTAACCGAAAGATCATGATGACTTGCATCTCATGTCAGGCGATCTGATGTAACTGAGGTACCGTAGCTGAGTAACTCACCATTCAACGTGCAATTTATGGGGAAAGTCGCCCACAAGAGTGCAAGGTCCATAACGTAGCCTGAAAAGGTCGAGTTAATGGTGAGCCTCACAGGATTGAATACTTCAAGAAACTTACAACTGTTTCGGTCAGCATTTAGAATCAACAAGCTGGTCGATCTCACCTCTTCGTAGAAACGTGATTAGTTGGTAGGTATCAATGCAGAACACTCACCATATCTGTCGTCAAGGCTCCCGGGAGATTGACTGCATGCCATCAGTCAGAAGAAACGAATGCCGTGCATCATGAGACACACCCAACATGTTGCTGCTGATTGCGAGAGATGGTTTATTAGCTCAGTGTCGACTTGGTAGCCTTGCGAACCCACACAGAGTATAATATTCCAAAATAGCGCACCTAGAATATTTTGAAATCAGTATAAATTGCCCACTGCACCGACAGCAGGAGCTACGTACGACGATATATAGAGCAGTCATGAAAGAACGGCGTTGTTTCTGACCCAAATTATTCACGATACCGCCCTTTTCTTCTTATGAAACTACTCACCCAAATCAATTCATACTCCAAAAACCATTTCAGTGAATTTATGGTGGCTGCTCGGCAATGAGATCAACCTACCTCTTGACCGAATGTCAACACTAGAGAATATCACAATGACATTAATAACTCCTTCCATAAGAGATCTTGCTTACCCCAGTCGTACACCACAGCAGCAGACGATGAGACTGCGAAACTATGGTCAGAGATAGAGCGAGAAACAACATCAACGACGTTGTTCTTCACGAACCTACAAAATAGTTGAAAACACGATACATATCGAGTGACCACGAACTGGGATCAGTTGGAATCAAAGGCATACTTCGTCTGTGAGTGACGAACTGCGGCGAGTCAGTGGTGGGTATATAGCGCACTAGCCATGTCACCCAGAGAAAATTATATACGCGGTCGGTGAGGTCCAGACCGTAATATTGTTTTAAGCTACTGGCGGTTGCCAATACTCAAGCCCGCGGCTACTCAAGCTCAAGTTCAAGAGTAGCGTTCGCGCGGCACATCGGTCTGGCAAACACGCCCTGGGGGTCAACCCAACTATCTCACGGCAATCTCACGAATGTGTAACATCCATGCCAACCTCATGTATGATGTGCATGAACTCTAACCGACTTTCGGATTCCCATGCATAAAGTGCGACTCATCGGAACAAACCCAAGTCCAAGTCTTTAGCCTTATATATAAATTTTAGACTTTTGCTTTAGTAGTAAGCGAGATCCAACGCTTTGAGTTCGGGTCCGTTGTGTTATCCAGCAATCGCAGCCTTCGTCCCATTTACAGTTACAGTACTACGACAAATAAAATTTACATAGCATTGAGTACAGGGTATCCGACAGGTGTTTGATCATTCCTACACATTAGTGCTAGTTGGCACTTGTAAGGGGTCCTGGGAAGCGATTGCAGGTGATTCAAATATTCCTTCCTCAGACTTGACCAGGAACTCGGCGTGCCATTCTCGAACGCTAAGGATGAGGCGCGGTCCTACCACAAACATCTGGAAGAGCGTGACGAGTTCAAGAATGCCCCGATAAATCTGAGCTTCCAAGCGAGATACATCCTACAGCAACGATGATGAGGGCTCAGATGTAGATCTGATCTATGGATCGACATACCAGGACCACTGGAGATAACAAGCCAATGTTGAGGACACATCCAGCAGTAAAGCTGGCACGTAGAGAAATTCAGCAAAACGATAAACCACATTCAAATCAAAGGCTCACAATGCAAAATAGAGTAAATGGGTTTTCATTAACACCATGGAACAATCCCCGATGAAAGTCCGTCCTGTCGATAGTGGTTGTAGTTCACGAAAGTGTTTTACAAAATTCCAGATTGCAAGACACAGTGTGAGTAGGTGCCATACAGTTGCGAGCATGTAAACCTCGAGCAACCAAAGTTGTTCGTCTTTGTCGACTTCGATAATGCACTGTATGTCGTTGATGAGGATCACCCCTGGCATTCGTTGCATGAGCCTGATGCGCTTAGGTCTTTCGTTCAGGAATAAAACTTACTCGTGGGAGCATGGTTGCTTCCTATTACACCAATCACTGCGCAGGGAACCATGATGGAGGAGTGAACTACAACTAGAAAGACGAGCATCTTTCTGGATCGCTGATACATAGCATGTAACCGAGTGATCACGATGACTTGTATGATGTGTCAGTCAAACTGATATCACTGAGGTACCGCAGCAGTCGCTCACCACTCAGCATGGAATTTACGATAAAAATCGTCCAGAATAAAGCGAAGTTCATAGTATTGCCTGAAAAAGCCCAATTGATGATGAGCCTTGCACGACTTAATACCTCGAAAAACTCACAACTGTTTCAGTCAATATATTGAATACAAGCTGGCTAAGAATATCACTCACCCCTACATAGAAGTGTGATTAGTTGGTAAATATCGGTGCGAAGAATGCTCACCGTGTCTGTCTTCAAGACTCCCGGGAGATTTACTGAATGCTAGCAGTCAGAAGAAAGGAGTGCAGTGCATTGCGGGACATACACAGTACGTTGCCGCTAAATGTGGATAGCTTATTAATTTAGTGTTGAATTGATAGTCTTGCGAACCTACACAGAGTATAGTAATCCGATGCAGCGCACCTAGAATATTTGAAATCAGCATGAGTTGCCCGCGAACCCATATAAGCCACGTACGATGATATATAGAACAGTCATGAGAGAACGGCGTTGCCTCTGACACAAATTGCTGTTGAACTATATCATCCTGTTCTTCTATGAAACTACTCACCCAGATGAGTTTATACTGCAAAAATCATACTCGTGAAATTACGATGGCTGCTCAGCGATGCGTCAACCTACCTCTCGCCCGAATGTCAATACTAGAGAATACCATAATGACATTAGTAACTTCTTCCATAAGAGATCTTGCTCACCCCAGTCATAGACCACAGCAGCGGACGATGCGACTGCAAAATCGTAGTCAACAATAGAGTGAGAAAGATGATCAACATTATCATCCACGAACCTATAAAATAGTTGGAAACACGATAGGTATTAGTATCGAATGACCACGAAGTTGGGTCACTTGGGATTAGGGGCATACTCTGGAATGTCTGCGAGTGGGGAACTCTGAGTTAGTGGTATACTAACGCACTGGATATTTCAATGTCCAGCGATTGAGTCATGCGGTGACAGAACATCCATGGTTTAAGTTGTCTGCAGCACGCATAGTAAGTATGATAGAACATCAGGATACTTGGCAGGGCTTCAGGAGTTCGAAGGTTCGTTAACGTTCAGGAGCTACTAGCGTTCGCGCGACCGTCGGCGAGGTAGCCAAAATTGGACATCATCATATGTAGTACTGTACGACCAGATCTGTATAAAAAAAAAAGAGTTCAACGCAATCCAATTGAATAGGTTGGATTGAATTGAATTTTTTATATTTGGCCGGACTGAACCTTGACTGCACGTGCTCAAAATCAAATTTTCAAACCCCAATTATTGAAAAACCTATTACATAATAATGACATGGTATATGACCATAAGTGACAAGTCCTCGGCCTGCCCATGCACTCTGTCACATCAATGTCAACCCACAGGGTACCTTCCAGTATAAACTCATTCTATCCATCTGATCGATCTAGCTATAGTACGTGTTTACCTCCATGTAATGCATGGATCGCTAACCATATATTCCCTGACCAGTGAATTTATCCATTCTCAAAACTCCGAGAAGTGCGGAGTTATGATATGTCAGCACAAACCCGGCTCTGTGACACGTGAAGGGACCAAGTGCAATGGACAAGTCAATTAGAAGGATTATATAGTTACTTCTTACTTTTCAACGACGTGAGAGCCTCGGTAAGCAAACCAATTCATCAAATCATGCAAGAGTATGACAACAACTTTTCATTCCAGGTTTAAGGTTCAACTACTGTAGCAAATATGCTGAACTCTGTGCATCGCCATCCAGCGTGCACATGTAGCTGCATCTGTGTGTTACTCTGACTGGTGCTGTAAGGATACGGCATATATCCCTGCCATACTATATTGGCTGATTCATGCGCTTCAACGCCTGGAAACGGTACATTGCCTTCGTGATCTATGACATGTTTGATTCCTTTTGAACATGATCCCTGGCGTATTTCTCACAGTGCTACTGCGGTTGAGATAAGCCAGGCTATGGGGTTAAATTGCACTAACTGACTTATTTCATTCCCGCTTGGCACCTGAGTTCAAGTTACAGTGTCCACTGCCTTAGGTTATATTCCCTATGTGTCCGGCCGTGTCTCGCTCGCTGCTTCGGTCATATGACTTATAATGCTATAAGGGCCCAAAGAAATCACTGGCGCTCCGAGTGAGTGTCTAGTCGATGCAAACACAACTTGCAGAATTTTCAGGATATTTGACGTCCGAATTTTACAGAGGTGCGAATCAATTGTAGCAGCAGCCCCAAACGGACCCTATTCATCACGGCTTCGGTCGCGAATGGTCACGCCGCGACTCGACCGTCATCAGGTCTGAAACCATACTTCGCAAGTCAGCCTCTTTCCTGACTCAAACTGTGTCCATTTTTACCAGTGTTATTTCTCCACCCGATGTCATGCCATCCGAGTTGTCCAGATCGTGACGCATCGATGACGCGTTGATGATGCAGAGGACGTAAGCCATGCTCCTCTCTTCTTTTGCCCGCATAGCTTACCTCTTCTGTCACTGGTGTGATCTAAGCGCATCGGGTTTGTCTATTTCGCACTTGGTTCATGTGATGCTAGCGTGACGACGAGCTCTTGACACCATGCGGTTGCTGCTCTATGACTTGGCAAATGTCTGGTGTTTTTGAAAATGTTCGAAATTTTTACAATCACTCCTCCCAGCTCTACAGTGTACTCTGCTACCCTCAACAGCATCTACACATATTACGCAACCCATAATTTTCCTGTACGAGACAGTCGAGTGGGGCCCGTCTGGCATTAGGTCGCATCCGCACATTCTGCCCATCACAAGAGAAGCTGATAAGCTGTTCGACGAGGACAATGATTCCAGCAGCTGCGGGGAGGATCATGGCATGCTCTGGGACGTATATCAGGTGTATAGCCAGAAGCATGCAATCATATTCTAAACAGAGGGGATTTCACCATTTTAGACGTTCCAACCAGATGTGATTCTCCTGCTCATCATACACAAAGCTGACTGCTGAGGAATAAGAAGAGCCTGAACTGCCTTCAAATCTGTACTCTGTGCAATCTCGTGAAGACCCCAGCAGTGAACAGCTTTGGACCGACTGGTAAGTTCCGAGTATTCACGTGATGCATTGGCAACTTCCGGAAGAGTGTACCAGTATGCTGTGTTTGTTACTTTGGCACAGTTGCATGTTGAATGCTGCCATGTCTCGCTTGCTTCAAGCTTCTCAGACCTTGGACGGCTTGACAAACAAAGACTGTCCTCAGCCTGGCAAGTCCAGTAGTGCCAGTAGTGCAGATGCGGCCAAATACTAGGACTATTGCAAATTGCGCTATCTACGCTGAGTACGAATTCTCGAGTGTGATGATTATATTTCGTACTCCGTGTGTTTGTATTAATATCCATACTAATTTCATTAACGCCTAAATAAACCTGAAGGCCTAATGTCCGAGTCCCCTCAATTCCACATACTTGCGATTATTTTCTCGAATCCCTCCTCCAACTCGGCCTTGAAGCCATCCCATAGTCCACCGTGTCCGTCTTGATCACTCCAGGCCGATCATCATGGCGCAAGTAAGGCTATAAAGAAGGTTAGTGGTGCAGCTGTCATGAAAAACGCACTGAATTGGTCACGCATAAACAGGTGATCCACCTGCCGTATCGATAATCCGTGCGCAGCGAACGGGTGTGGGATTAAGGCGTCAGATGATGCATTACTCCAATGATCCGACCTTCGCTTCACGATTGGTACCTGTTATTTAAGCCCAAATCCCCATTCATTCACACTGATACAACTCCCCATGGGTACTGCAGATAGTACGTGCGTATCTTTCAACTTCACATATGTATGACCTAGTATAACTTGCGCAGTTTTGGAGCGTTCTTGATTGGGGTTGTAGTCTCTGCCGCGTAAGTGTTCTTTTTGGATCAACAACGAGCGTAGATTGAAACTTGGATGTTCCAGGCTTTACGGAGGTGTGTTTTCGTGTTTTTTTTTGCGTTGGTAGGAGCTCACAAGCACACAAAGTTACTTGTGTGCAGACATGGTACTACTTTAGCTGGTATTTCTCGGATCCTTGGTACAACAAACTTTTAGTAGGTTCACGAAGGATTGATATGCGCCATTCTCTAACATTATATAGGTTGGCGCTGTATTTGTATCAGACACAACCCATCAAGCTTTGATTACACATGCCTGTGAGTACCGGATATAAGACGTGTCTGTCTGTGAACTGAATATTGAATGGTAGTGTATACGTACCTTGTCACTGACTTTGGCAACGCCAGTGATCTCGAGAAAATTGTGTGGAGCCTATTGGTGGGTTGCGTGTGATAAGTGCCCAATTCTCATCTGACATGTTTATTTGCATCATAGGTTGAAGTTTTGTTCAATGGCTTCACGGGGTTTATGGTTCAAAGGTTGGCGTGATACCTTTCAAATAGAACGATTCTCATTAATCGTCCTTTCAGCTTCCTCGCCAAGCGTGTCTACCATCGTATGTATGATCTCCCTGCCAGTGGACGGTTGCTTACTTTCAGCCAGTGAGCAACAAGAACATGATCATAACCGCGTCCGTGATGTCAGTTGTCATCGCTGAACTTGTCATTGTTGTCAGTGAGTATGCGTTTTTGCTTCTCGTAAATTTGTCTACTAATGTGATATTCAAAGTATATGTTGTAAAAGCGTAATTTGTGTCAGAAATTATCAAGTAGTAGTCCGCTGATGCACCCTTCTTCAGTCTCGAGTTGGCGACCTTCACTCAAGTTCGCCAGATCAAGTCATGGTCAATGTCTATAAATGCTGTAGCAGCTGCCGGAGATATCCTTATCGCTGTATTACTCTGCATATTCCTCCAACGATCTCGCACTGGGTTCCGTCGGTCCGATACCATGATCAACAAGCTCATGCTGTACACTATCAACACTGGTCTACTTACCAGTGTTTGCGCAATGATGTCCTTTATTTCTGTATGTAAAACATCACAAACGGCTCGTTACTTCGTTCCTGACCCAGATGTGGCACAGATTGTATTGTGGCCTGATACCTTCATATACATCGCATTCTATTTCTGCGTGGGACGTCGTAAGTACACTGCAGTCAAATCATGCTGTTCACGAGGTTAACAAGATCGTTCTCAGTTAATTGCAATTCCCTGCTGGCCACCCTCAATGCACGCAAGGGTATCCGCCGTGATGGCGATGCTTGTAACGAGCACGTGTCGACTTTGATAGATAGAGCCCTGAGACCTATCAACAGTCCCATCAGCTCATCGCAAATGGTGAGCTTCACGGATTCGCACAGTACATTTCTCATGTGCATGCAGGAGATGCCGAATCACCTTTCAATTAAGCTAGATACCACGCAAGAATGCATTGAAGATCAGGTCAGTTATATTCTGTACCAGCTCTGTGATCCAATACTGATTTATATGTACGCCGCTTTGTATCCGCGAAGGACCTCAAAAGGGCGCAGTCAGTTTAATTGTCATACGGATGAATCGCAAAATGCGCCTATCTCATCGGTTCTTATACTTAGAAGAGTAAGCACGCTGTGCCTTTGACATTCATTCGGTGGTATATTCTTCACTTAGATTTAGTATGTATTTCATTAAAACTAACTCAACACACCCGGCAGTCTTCACTTGTCCATATTCAATACTAGTCACTCACACCGATATGTAGTAGCTCGCTCGCCCTCGCCCGACTCATCCTCGACGGCGTATCAGTGGCCTCCACATACCCAGCAGGCTTGCTCAAAATCGACTTGATAAATGCCTTGGTTGGTTTGGACCAGGGAGTCGCCGACAATAAGAATGGAACATCGGTCTCTTTCCCCGTCAATTTGTTGAGAACTTTCGGTAGTTTGATGGCCACTTTACTAAGGGCGCAGTCAGTTCAATTGCTTACGGATGAGAATCGGGCTGAGTGGCCGAAGTTGCTGCAGAGGAAGCTAGTGTTATGTGAAAAGATAGTCCATCACTGAAAACCAGGATTCATGATAAACCCTTATATACACATTATAATCCCAACAATGTATCCCAGGACCTAGAATAGGGACTGGTTTAGCAAATTTAAATGTCTGTCGTACCAATCACACAGGGCTGGTTTTAATCCCGGTTCCGGACATCTTAGTCATCTGTGGCTGATCCCTCTCCTTTCTTTGTCCTGCATCCAGCATTTTTTTGACTTCATATGCAAGTATTTTGGGTTTTTTGACTCTCAAGTGCGCCTATTGGCATTGAAGCAGTATCCTATGGGTCATCAATGTCATTTGTTGCTTTGTGTCATACATGTGAGGCTTTCTGAGCTGCAACATCATCAGTAAATTCACACATTTCTTGACCTTCAACTTGCTGCCAGATAATTCCCAAAAAGGAGCAGAAAAGCCATTCATGAGAACGGTGACACCAACTTGCTGTGAACTTGCCACAAGACGATTATAAGTTGAAAAAGCAGATGCCTCCTCTTGACTTCAACTTTTTCCAAACTTATTTTAGCTTTTTTGGCAATCATTTTGTACTTATTCCTACATTCTGAGCCATGCCAGTAGCACAATTCAGAGATACTTATTGTACACTTTCCAAACTTATTTCACACTTGTTAAGATCATAAACACAAAACACTGTATTTCAGAGGGAGTAAATGATATAATGTGTATTAGCAAGCAAGAGAGCAAGTAGTGAGCAGGAGAGAGTAAGTAGCAAGTGAGAGGAGCAAGTAGCATGTGGGAGAATGTAAATAGCAAGCGAGAGAGAGTAAGTAGCAAGCGAGAGGAGCAAGTAATGAGCGGGAGAATGTAAGTAGGGAGTGGGAGAGAGTAGGGAGCAGGAGAATAACATGAGGGTCCTAGTGGATGGGAGTTGTCAGAGAATGTAAAAGACAAGAAAAATGAAGACTTACTCACATAGTACCTACAGGCGGGACATGGCACCGTCAATGTCCACTAAGAAGTTCCAAAGACGAGATCATGCACTGGCTGAGAGCAGGATATGGCTGCAGCACCATCAGAATCGGGTAAGCAGATCAAAAAATGAGATCATGCATGGTCTAAGAGTGGGATACAGCTGCAACATGATCAGCGTGGGGTTAGCAGGTAAAAGGCCATGCAAAAAAACAAAGTAGGTTAGTGTGGTGAAGAGCATAAAAAATACACCCACCTCTGTGGCTTACCAGAGAAAGATGCTGCAATTCCAAGACAAGTGTTGTGTTGATGAAGATGGAGGGGCAGAGCAGTGGAAGAGAGCATTGACATGTCCAAGAACGACAGATGTTTGTTGAACCATGGGAATAAACAAACATACACAAATGTTTGACTTGGATGTTTTGGACATCGTCTGTAAGCCATCCTCATTCCAGAAAGTCAGGGTATTGGGAAGTCTGTGTGAAATCTGCGCAGACTCTGCGTCCAAGTCTGTGTCTAAGTCTGTATCAAGTCTTTGTCAGTGTTACTCGGAGTTACCAGGGGAGCTGCCAAAGGTCTGTCTCAGACTGTCTGCCCACTGTCTTACATAACCACTGATTAGCTTATCTTGCCGCCCTCTCTTGTTTGCCTGCCGCCGCCCTTGTTATCCACCGTCTCTCTCGCTTGTAGACCACCTTTCTCATTGCCTACAGACTACAGTCCCTCCCGTGTCTCCCTCCTTGCCTGCCACCTTTCTCCTTGTGCACCATCTCTCTCGTTTGCCCACCACCTTTCTCATTGCATCCTGCTGGGCCATCAACTATATCATTCCCGCCACCTATGAGATGTGGCTATGTAAGACCTGCAGTGAGTGTGTTGATCCTCATTCGAGCTTGGGCCATGCTGATCCAAGTCTTTGCCCACTGTTCGCAGGAAGTGAGTGTGTTGATCCTCATTGAGTTTGAGCCATGCTGATCCAAGCTGTTGCCCACCATTCGCCATTTGTGAGTCTGTTGATCCTGCTTCAAGCAAGAGCCATGCTGATCTAAGTCATTTCCCGCTGTCCGCTGTTCATGAGTCTGTCGATCCTCCTTCAAGCAAGACCCATACTGATCCAAGTCGTTTCCCACAGTTCATGAGTCTGTCGATCTTGTTATCGTGTTGCTACTACTGACATACATTGTACCCCCACCTGTTACAGTAACCCCATCATTTTCCCATCACCACCTGCAGGACTACACATGTACTATGCTTCTTGATCCCCGCCCTCCTTCTAGTGCACCTCATGTCGACCATAAGGATTCCTCTTATCTTTGACTTCCTTTTCCTGTACTATTACAATGCCTCATGGACTGGTCTGTGCACTTCTCCTTACGTATATAAACCCTAGCTACTTCTTGTATTTCTCCTTAACTTGAATCTACTCAGTTTTCCCTGATACTTGACTAGGACCTGAGGGTGCCTTCTGATCTAGCTCTTTGCGAAGAGACTAGCCTATACTCGATCACTTTGCCAGAGTTCTACCTCTGGTTGTCATTACCCGATACCATACTCTTGATCTCCTTTATTGGAGCTGTTACGGAAGACTCTATCTGAGTTTGTAACACCACCCATATATCTAGTACAGGAATACATGGGTCACGGGCTACCTGCTGTGGGTTACATACCAAGTTGAACTACATATTTTACTTGCTGTACTTATTTTTGTTTCTAATACTTAAACTAACTTTTCTGATCTTATGCTACTTTTCGGCACTTGTGTGTCATACACTTCCTTTTTTGACTTGTGAAAACAAACAGCCAAGCGAATAAAGGTGAATAAGTGTCAATAAGTTAAAAATAAGTTTTAATTTTTGAAAAAAGGTCTGCCAAGAAATGTGTGAATTTACTGATGATCTTGAGATTTTGGCTCATGATGCAGATCATTATCTCACAAGCCATTGAATGTTATTGTAGGAAGTGAGGACTAGACACGAGCCTCAGTCATGGATAAAGAGACTAGGATTCTGCAGTGCTACAAACCTAGACACGAGCCTACATGTAGTGAGTATAATGATATAGTAGAAAGAACAACAATACACACCTCAGTCATGGGTAAAGAGACTGAGGTGCACTGACAGACATTGGACATCTTAAGTAGGAAAAATGGAGTCAGGTACTGTAGAATGTCTTTGATATATATATGTCACTCATTGTCCTAACAGGGTGGTCAGGCAGATACCATCAGCTACTCTTGACACTTCCACTCGCCTGACCGTCTGGTGTAGTCTGACGGCAGAGACCCATCTCCTCTCGATGACGTATCACAGTGGGACGAGGTAAGGCCTTCGTGAGGCTATCAGCTAACATCTCTGATGTCGACTTGTACTGAAGTCTGATTTGGTCACTGTCGACAAGGCTGCGGATCAGGTGATAGTGGACACAGATGTGCTTTGCCTTTTTGTGGAACTTGGGATTCTTGGAAAGGGCAAGGCTTGCTTGGTTATCACCATAGAGGAGTGGGGGATCATACAGGTTAGGATTGACGTGGAAGTTGTGGAGTAATTGGATAAGGTAAAGTGCTTCCTGCGAAGCATTTGAGAGCCCAATATACTCCGCCTCTGTCGTCGATGTTGCAATGACTGACTGTTTCTGAGCCTTCCAGCTAACTGGGCCACCAAACAGTTGGTAGACATAAGCACTGGTTGACTTGCCATTGTCACGGTCAGCAGCATAATCAGAGTCAGAGTGACCAATAAGACCATCATCCATCAGGCCAAAGATGAGTGTTAAGTCTGTCATGCCACGGATGTACCTGAGTAGGTATTTGAGCTGACGGTGATGGTCAATGCTGGGGTTCTCCATATAGCGAGAGAGACATGAGACAGTGAAAGTGATATCGGGACGAGTAGTCCTCATTGCATAGTTAAGTTCACCAATTGTGCGATGATAAGGGATAGAGGCGATGATAGCCACCTCATCAGTGGTGGGAGGTCGAGTGGCCTTCTGGAGCGTGATGCCAGGAGCCATGGGTGTGCTGACTGGATTGCATTGAGACATTCCGGCATTCTCTAGGATTTTCTCCAGGTAAGTCTTTTGGCTGATTGAGAGGAGGCATTTCTTGCGATTGCAAGTGATGTGCATGCCAAGGAAATGTCTAGCAGGGCCAAGGTCTGCCAGTTCAAAGTGTTCCTTGAGGTGTACCTTGAATGTGTTCAGGTAGTCACAAGAGTTTGATGTGGCTAGCATATTGTCAACATATACAACAAGCCAAATGACCTTGTTATCTTCATGGAGGACATACAGACTGCGATCAGCCTCACTCCAAACAAATTTAAAACCTTCTTTCTGCAGATACTCATCAAGTGTTTGATTTCACTCATATCCAGCCTGTTTCAGCCCATATAGTGCCTTCTCCAACTTCCATACTCAGTCTGGGTGTTCTGGTGAAGGTTCAATGATACAGCAAGAGTACAAACGAGGCTCCTGACTGTATCTATAAATGTTGTAAGGTCGTGCATTGCCTAGTCTGCTATACTTGAGATGACAAGTGCGTTCAACCCTAAAGGGGAAGTGAGTGCAGCAAAGATCTGGTAGTAGGCGCTGAAGGTGCTACTGGTTGGCTGATGCAAAGCGCGGGAAAGCGAAGGTGCGCGCTGTCTTACTAGGATGTGAAAACAGTAAAATTCACCAATTTTCAGTATCCTACCACGGTCAACAGTTCAGACAAATACCAACAGTCGATAACGTGGTCGTTCGTGGGAAAAAGTGTGTTGAGTTTTCAAAGGAAGTACTCAGTGACTAAAAAGGGGGGAAACAGAATCAGTAACTGGCTTGATGCAGTGCTATGATCCTAAAGAAAGTCAATAACTGGCGCGATGCAGTGCTATGACTTCAACGAATATAGATGTATGTCTTATGCGATGATTCTCAGAGCTATAACAATACTCCCTATCCTCACAAACCAATTGGAGATCAGACTAAGCCTCTAACACGGATCAGCCCGAACTAATACGTGGCTTCGAAACCTACTCTCTGCTGCTCAGGCACTACACGATAAGTTTGACGCAGGACAGAACAGAATACACCCTCTTGATGTAGTCTTGAGTGGGCCAAGTTCTTAATATTAGTGACTGACTGTTAGTCTTATTTGTCTTCCCTTGCTAATGAAAATACGTATATTCTCCCCACAGAATTGATTTCCTGTGTCTGAAAGAGAACTGGAATATATCTGCACTAGATGACTGATAACCGTGTACCAGCTAGTGTAAAATATATGGCTCAATGGTGGCCTCAAATATGCCTCTGTATGTCGTGGGAAACAGTGTCAAAAAGTGGAATGAAATAAGCTAATATTTCACTCAGTGTGTCACTCAGTAATCTTTGAAGTGAGAATCTAAAAAGAGCCTTATGGTCACTCTTCTTATCTTTCACTCACTCACTCACTCACTCTCAAACTTAGATGATACTTGGAAATGGGCTCTGAAATGGGAGCTCTCTTTATTAAAAGGGAAAATGGGCCCCTTATATACTACTCTACTAGTGGCTGTGCTACTGATTACTAATCTACTACTAAAGTGTCAAAGAATGCCATAGAATGTTCCAGATTATTCTACCAAATTCCAGTATTGCTTTCAAATCAACATTTAGTGGCTGTGCTCTGTGGCTATGCTAACCTGTGCTAGCAAGCTGTGTACACTGCCTCTGCACTGCCTGAATGCTGTACTCCAAAGCTGTGTTCAAACTTTGTTGAAATTCTTGCAGTCTAATGTTAACTTGTTAAATACCACAGTGTTGGTCTTGCATATTTGTCATAATGAAGTCTCTGCATGGTTTCCTAATGTGTCACCAAGTCACATGAGTCCGATTATGTAATGAGGTATGAAGTCTTTCAGGTCTTTCCTCTGAGTATTGTGAAAAATGAGAGGCTCGCGTAAAAGCGAACATGTTCAAGATGTGACACAAAACATACCAATTATGTAATATGATGTCAGGATATGTCACAAAGTATGTTCCAGAACATGTGAAAATGTGTGAGAAAATTATAGGAAGTGTGAGAAATTGCTGACTAAGTGAAGAATTGTGCGTTTGAAACCGATCTTTCATAAGGATAAGTATTATTCTGAATGTTAAGTAGTGATGCACTCATTTTTGAATCCGAAATTACTCAAATAAAATATGGGTGCTACACAGAAAATTCTAGATAGCATCATGGGCTATTATAAAGAGTACTACAGCTAAATATTTGCCATGTTCATGTACAAAACAAGTTTTGTGCATGTCAGCGCGTGTGTGAGCAGTAATGAGAGAGAGTAAGAGTGAGTTTGCTTAAGTGATGATTAGAAACTAGACAAGAGGTGAGAGATGCAAGCTGAGAGATGTTGACACGCACCAAACCAGTTTTGTGCATGGTCATGGCTACTTTTTAGCTTTGAAGTTCCTTATGTTTGCTCTATGAAATTACTACGAACTTTTTACACCGCCTTATGATTTTATTTGAGTAATTTTCAGACCTGAAGACCTTACAATACAACTTAACTGTTCAAATTAATACTTATCTGACTCAAAGATCAGTTCCAAACATACCACAACAGATTATTCAGCATTTCTCATGAAATGGATTAGTCAGATATTTGAGTGGAGAAAGTTTATAGATGAGAATATTTTGAGAAGTGAACAAGTCAACATGGAACATTTTGATGACTGAGTCATTATGAGTCATTTTCTGTCTGAGTCGCTATGAGTCATATTTCCTTATTTAGAAAGTTATGCAGCCACATTTAGAGTAGTATATAAGGGACTCTGTTTCCCCTCTGAATAATAGATTCCCCTTCTTGAGAGATTCCCTTCTAAGAAGGAAGGAGGATTTGAGTATCTTCCTAAAGTTTCTCACCCTATATTTGTGTGAACATCTGAGTGAATATTAGTTTATTCCCTCCATTCATTTATCATCATTTCTCACGACATACTGATCTTCTGAGGCCTACCTTGAGCCAATCCTTAAATTACACTAGCTGGTACACGGTTATCAGTCATCTAGTGTAGTTTCGTCATTCTCTTTACGACACAGGATATCTTTTCTGTGGGGAGAATTCACGTATTTCTTAATGATTAGGAAGGACGACAAATAAGACTAGCACTTTACTCAACAATATTAAGAGCTTGGCTACTTTAAGACTACATCACGAGGATGTACTCTGTTCTGACCTGCGTCATACTCATCGTGCAGTACCTGAGCAGCAGAGAAGTTAGTTTCAAAGCCACGTATTTTGGTCGATTCAATTGTGTTAGAGGCTTAGTTTGATCTCCTCTGATTTTGAGAATAGGGAGTGTTTATGAGATAGTACTCTGATTCCTTTGCATATTGTCGTGATCTATATTCATCTTATCTTTGCATATCTTTGCAACCATCTTCTTGTAGCATCGTAGCACTGCATCAAGCCAGTTATCAATTTGGCTACACCATTGATCATCAATCCTTATCATCTGTGTCCTAAGTACTGCATCAAGCCAGTTAACGGATCAACAGCCTTCAAGTACCTAAGCACTGCATCAAGCCAGTTAATGGTTACTGTTCCTGAGATTTATCTTGATCTCATCTTTTTCAAAGTCATTAGGAATTTGCTTGCTGTGACAAACCCAACTTTTACACCTCCTCCCACGAACGGCCACGTTATCAACCGTTGGTATTTGTCTGAACCGTTGACCGTGGAGGATAGTGAGAACTGGTGATTTTATTGCCAATCACATCCTAGTAAGACAATGTTTTCTGCAAGGTGCCAAAGAGTAGATTTCAACTATGCTCTGCTAGGTAGTAAGTGGGTAGTGCTGTCGTTCAGTCGGTAAGTTGGTTGGTGAGTTGATGGTAAGTGAGTAGGTAAGTAATATTATGTACTGCTGGCGCTTATATATGGCGCCTAAGCGCTGTCATGCGGAGCTGAAGCGCTACTGAGTGAGGTATGTAAGGATATATGTAAGTAAGGGTCCATGATAAAAATAAAGGTGGAACAATATGCAAATAAGAGAAATGGAAATATACGCACTACAGAGCTTGGTGGACAGTGGATGGATGCTTCCAGATGGCTGGCGCTATAGGGCGCTCAAGCGCGGGAAAGCGTTGTAGAAACAACAATACAGAGAGGAACAAACGAAGATCGCTCCTAACAGATATATTTGTGTTGTGGTCTTTGCACTGCCTAGTCTGCTATACTTGCCTGACAAGTGCGTTCGACCCAGGGGTCTGCGGTCTGGGAATAGTCTTGGGGTAAGTGAGTGATGTGGGGTCAATAGTCCGAGCGCGGGAAACAATGTCCAAAGGTATAATTACGATGTCCGATGCAAAAGCGTCGGGTCCGATGTTTTCGGGGTTTCGGGTTATCGGGTTCGGGTTCGGGGTGTCAGAAACTAAGAGTTACGCTATATGCGAACGTCGGAAAAGCGAGCGGTATGCGTGATGACAATGATGATTGATACGGATAATGAAAGAGCGATGATATTCGCAATATCAACTAAGAACTACGAAATATCGGGTTTGACCACTAAGCGTCGGGGAACTGCTCCCCTCTACTTGGACGATGAATAATGCTTGAGGTCAGTCCAATATATATGTAAGTACGTAGAAATGCGGAACCCGTAGGCGAAAGTAGCGGCGGAGTATTTCGGATCCGAAGTACATGTAAATAAACATGAGGCGCTGCGGACTATGGGAAAACATGTAATAGCGCTGGCTACAACGTGAGTAATGTGCGAAATAATGAACTACACACCTAGTGGGGCTAGCAAGACGGAACGGGACACGGATAGGACAAGTGCGCGGGAAAACATCGGGTCCGATGCGGCCTAAACGTCGGGTTGGCGGGTTAGTGTTGGATAACATCGGGAAGTGATTAGCATGTGACGGGTATTTGACGTGTACTGTAAAATAGCTCGATACGAGCCCAGCGCCAGCTCGTGTCCTACAGTGTGTGCGCGTATACATTGTGAAGCGCAGGAAGTGTGCGCGCATGTTGCGCATTGCATGGGAAAGTTGTGCCTCATATAGGAATAGCTGCGGATAGCATACAGAGTGATGCTCCAAG